GCGATCTGCTTGGCGGTAGCGTGAGCACAACAGGACGAAACTGCAACATACCTTTCGAATAAACTCCTTCTCTGAAAATTTGGATGCGTCGGTCGTTGACTAGTGCGAACTTGATGAGTTATGATCATCTGTAGAAGAAAGAACGATGACTGTGTAAGAGGGCTGAAAGTACGTGGGTTTGTTCCTACTCTTCAGTCCCTCTGACACAGCAGATCCTGTCGAACGCAACCTTCCACAAGCCTATTAAATAAATTTTATGTTTCGTTGCATTTCATGTCATCATGTTTTCGTATCCTTGTTCGGGAGGTGTGAAGTTTACCCGTCTTTGGATCAAAGGTGTCATTCTGTTACCTATTTTAGTGCGCACGTAATTATTTGTCGTAATATCTCAGACATCGACGTGCTGCAGGTGCGAAGACACACGTGAGCCTGCCTCTAGGCCTAAATGGTCCTTTGAATCGTTAAGGGCAGAGGAGTCCTGCAACCATGCGTTATTAAATATTGTTTAACGATTCTAGCTGGACTTTTAGGCCGTGCCGCAAGCTTCGTCGAATTATCGAACGTGTTGCCACGGACATGGAATTCGTTGTACACTGTCATCGACGAATACAAATGTACCTGAGAAGGTCCTCGCGTGTTTAATTTTCGAGTGTTCAATTTCGTGCCGATTAACACGCACAGTTAACGGGCATTTCTTGTCACGTTGTCAGAGGAGGTGTTTGCGTGACGTTTCTGAACGGTCGTTTGTTAGCGTCGTTCCCCCGGCAAACTCCGTTGACAGTCTTATGCAACGGTTGCTGGTCGAGTCGTTCATCACGGATATGTGACGACGTTGACGAGGAAGGCCCCGGTGAGCGATTTATAGCGTGCATGCGATTAATTAGTTTCGTTCAGCGATATTGACGTTCGTTTCGAGTTCGGTCTTCGGTCTGCTGGCGGACAGACTAGTTTACCACCTGCGACGCAGATGTGAACCGTTTCAGATTCAGGTTTATAAAACGGGTAGGGCCGATTTGGTTTCCGAACTGACGGCACGCTCGGCGCTCCGAAGACGGAAGGCAACCGAAGGAGCGGTTGGTCATTAAACGTACACCCGGATGAGCGGGCTGTGACAAATTACCGCTGTCACCCGCACGAGTGATCGTTGAAAGGCGTTTTTAAGTTTTCTCCTCATCAGACACGAAGCGGTCGTTTGCTTTCTCTAATCAGCGCCGCGGGCTTCAATCTGACACTGTTTCTTTAAGAGATCGATCGCCGACGAAGAAGTTTTTTACACAACTTTGGCACCTCTATGTTTTCCGAGCCGAAGCCTATGCGAAGCGGCTGCTGGTCGTCGTCTATGAGTTGCAGTCTTTCACACAGCTTGGTTTCAGGTAAGGCTTTTGGCGTTTCTGACAGTTTGATGCGGTTGATTTTGACCTTCTTGTTTGCCTTCGGAGCCGTCGAAAGAGAAGCATCGGTTGATTGACAAGGGTTCGTTGTAGCCTCCAGAAGTGTGTCGGTCATTCGACCACGGCGTCGGCGAAAGCGTCCGATGGGAGTAGGCCGATACCTCGCCTTTTGTTTGCCGATCCAAACATCAGGGCCGTATCCTTAGCACTGCAGCAAGTATATCCGTTTATTATCTTCTTCTTGAGACTAGGAAGTTGTTGAGCGCGTTCAATACCCATTGTGATATTCTGAGGTGGTGGATCGTCTGGAAGACAAAATTCAAGTCGAAAGGTTTGAGAAAATAAACGCTTCGTACCTGAGTATGCTCATGACTGAATTTTTAATGCGACGATCTTAGAAATGCGTTCTTTCAAAGCTATAGCTGTTGAACTCAGTCTGATGTCAGACATCTGGTCCGAAATATGATGAGGAAAGGTTTGACTGTGTATAGCCTGAATGATACAGTGCCTTCTGGAAAAAGACCGTGCAATGCGTTCTTGCCTTTAATGGAGTGCTGCTGAAACAAATAGAGAGGTTTAGGTGTCCGTAGCAGGATGGAAATAAATGCTGATCAGCTAAGCGGGTAAATTAATGCAGCAGCTAAACTGGCTGGTTCTTTGTGGAGCTGCGGTTTTCGATTCGTTGTTACACGCAGTTACTCATCGATGATTTTCATACGTGGTCAAGATGCAAAAAAGAGAATCGTTAAGCAGACTCTCTTGCCAAAGCAAAATGGAAAGCTATCAAAAATAAGTTTGAACATCAGGTGTTTGGGTTATTTCGTTACATTGAAATCCAGTTAATGGAGTTTGTGCGAACTCCAATGGGAGGCTGTTCTGAAGTTGTGATTTTCGACACCTTGACGAACAGCAAGATCATAAAAATAGATGGTTGGATGTATGAATACAGAAATGCTTATTTTACTCCTTTAGTTAGATCAGTAACATAACCGGTGATAATGATGGACATCTCAATTCCAAACATTGCTTATTGACACCATTGGCTGTAGCCGGCTCTTTGGAGCCCGGATTTTGAGACCTGCAAGAAGAGAACCTCAGAAAGTGCAGAAATTAACTTGACTGTAAGGAAAGTAACAATAAACGAAACTCAGTACAATATTTACCAAAAGCAGTACCGATGGCGAAGCGCGAGCTGGAGACGTTACCGGCATAAAAGCCGTCCAGTGGTCGCCAGTGAAAATTGGTTCGCTTGAACTTCCTATAAAGCTGTTACCTAGTGAAAAAGAGAGTTTAACCGTGTGCCTAGAATCTTGCCGGCTGTCTTTTGTTGACTCACTGTTCGCACTTCATTTTGGTCATACTTTGAATGGTAAATTCTGTCTGTGACTTCACAACTAAACGTCTCATTTTTGGTCATGGTGATGCTTCTTCCACATTCGGTTATCTTCGGTAGTTTTCTTTTTTAAATCATAGTCGTCTACTTCTTCGTAAAGCGAAGTTTCATTGTAGAACAACAGTCCTTTGGCATTTCGACCTCATGTGATAGATTTGAGATCGGCGTTCGCAGTTGTAAGGAACGAAGCGTTCAGTTTACTTCATTCGTGTATGAAAATCTTTCGTTGATAATTGGCTTAAGGCATACGATAGGCAAGTACCTATGTCCACGAGCGCAACGCAGATTAAAACCGTATCAGATTACATTGATTATGCTGGAACAAGAACCGTACTCATGATTGCAGTTACTTCCTCTTTTTGGTACGAAGACTTTAATATCGGATATTGCAGCGGTTCAGTCTATTAGCCCTGTCGGTCAGATTATGCATAACGCAGGTTTCACTTTAAAACTGACATCACTACCCAAGCTCACGACATACGTTGCGTTGCCTCACATGTCACTTGCCACTACTAGGGTTTCTATTAATGCCACAGCCTCATCACCTCAGTATATCGACATTTGCTTTGAATCGGCCCACTTTCGATCGCTGCATCTGCTTATATGGCGTCGTTCCATTGCTGCAAAGAACGTTGAGCAAAACGAACTTGATTGGTGCTATGAGCTCTTCTGCTCGCCTGGACTGTTTTATTGTTTCCCACAATTTTATTCAGTGGAACTGTTTCACTGCCAGCCGTGCTTCAGCAGTACGCTCTACTTATCAACGCTTTCCTTTATCAATGGTGTAACAGCTCAAGCGACAATTCTTTCATCGGTTTTGAGGTATTTGTCAGTGCTCGCAGTTTCTTGCCATGGTTTATTGGTAGAGTGCCTAAGGGGTCTGCTTTGAACTCCAGGCTTTCCGGATTCAGTTCCAATTGAGAGCAGTTTTTCCGTTATTCACGAATTCGTTGAGTAAAGAATTTGCCATAGACTCATTTAGAATGGAGTTGCTTAATCAGTAGGGCGTCGAATTCAAAACCGATAGGTTCTCAGTTCAAGCCCCAGTCGAATATTCGCGATATTGTTTTTTTTTGAGGTTGATAAATGAGTAACGCTGCGGGAAGGAAAAAGAAGACCACACCTTACGCTTGCCATATGGCTGTAGATTCTGCCTTTCAAAAAATGAGGCATTTTTTACCGATGGCACAACACCATAAACTTCATTAAAGGAAGCGCGCCATATTGGCTCATTTCATCAAAATGAAGGAAGACCAACATTACAACGGTGAAAAACTTTTCTTCTTTTTTTATCTGCTCAGATTATAATCCTTCAAGCCAAAATACACTGATTTTGACGATTGTTGTTTCATACGCAAGGATATTATGTAATGCAAGGTTTTCAACGTCTTATTCATAGTGATGGGAAGCTCGTTTCCTTGAACCAATCATTTTAGCTGATCGATTGATAGTCTTCTCAATAGTTTGTTCTGACAGTTCATTGTCATTCTGTTCATTGACAAAGTTCAATCCTGCAAAGAGAAAAGCATAACTTTACCCATTTCTTTTACTAGCTTCATTTTCAATCACCAAACAGGTTTGATACACACTCTTGACTGTTGAAAATTGAAAAGTAATTTTGCTTTCTGTTTGGTCGCGGTTCAACTTCTGCTGTTACCAAAGGACAAAAACAGGTTGTACGGAAATTTGCTGATAAAAATGTCAGAAACGTTGCACTGCTAAGGTAAAAGGTTGGTTCGCAGTTTCTCGTGCCTCTTTGCTGAGATCTTCACATTGAGCCGTTGTGAATGAAAGAACAGCACCTCTAGTCTATGTTATTGACTGTATTAGCAGCTTTCCGCATTTTTCCAATAACATACCCGTTACTGCGTCGTGGAAAAAACTATTCTTCTCCAAAAGCATATCTGCCCACACTTTGTTTCGCAGTGTTGTATGATGGCCTCTTGGTCGAACACTTCATGTCTCAGCT